CTAGCCATCTCAAAGCTCGGTGGTTGAGCGCGAGAATGGGCACTGACGTGCGGCACTTTGGTCGAAGCTGCGTTTTCCTCCTAGGCGGAGCTGAAACTGCAGCTCTCACGAGTGTTCTCGCCGCCTAATCAGGTATATCGCGTGCGATAGCGTTTCCTTGCCACCCGACAGGGAATCAAGGAATTGGTGGACTTTGTCCAATAGTTGCGCACTCTCATTGCCAGGATGGCAACAGATCCCCTTCCGGAGGCGGTCACAGTGACCGTCTTTATGGAAGGCCTCCGCGCTTGCGTGACCAGTACGGAAGTCTTCTCTGTGCATCCGTTTTCGTTTGTAGAGGCAGTGAATGTGACATGAATGCCAGATTCAATTTCAAGTCGGCACGACTTGGTTGGAATATACTCCAACAGCTCGTCGAGCGGGCCTATGCCCATGGACCTTAGCTATGCTGAGGACGAGGGAGCAGAGCTCCGAGTTGCCGGGCAGCACAAACACACACGACGGTCTCTTGTCTGTGGAGGCATCCTTCACCTTCGGAACGGTTGCCCCAGCACAAGGCGCGTCAAGGCTCTTCGAGCCAACGCCCCAATTACTACCGGTCTGGTTCGTCGCGGGGAAACGACACCACCCGGTAGGCGCGGGGCGACCTACTGGGGAAGAACTGAGTTCTGTTGAGTCTCACGGAGGCATAGGTCAGTTGGTCCCAGCCCCGAAGAGCTCCGTGCTCTTGAACATGGAACGTGCATGCAAGCCGGGCTTGCTGGTCGTGGAGGCGACCGTAAAGGGCTTCGAGAAGCCAAGGAAGATCCTCATCAATTCCGGGGCGTCGGGCAATTATGTTCGACGCTTCACGACGGAAGGAAGTCAGCTGTATGTTGAGGCGCTGAGAGCGCGGTTGGGCGACATCGTCACTGTTCGCGTAGCGATGGGGACACGTATCACGGTCCCGACGGTCCCTGTGGACCTCGAAGTCAAATTTCTTGACTTTGATAGTGTGGAACGCTGTCTAGTCTTAGACTTGGATGCAATGTACGACCTCATCCTAGTAAAGGCATGGTTGGAACACCATGAGCCATGGATTGATTGGAGTTCAAAGACCTTGGGGCTACGCGCACGTCTCCTGGTCGAGCTTTGGCGATTCATGTACCCACATCTGCTAGGAGACAAAAGTGCTATTGGCTAGAGCACTGGACCGAGACGGTCAACGAGCTGGACATTGGAATGTCCGAGTTAATAGACACCAACGGTGTATCGAAC